GTGGCTCTCCGGGATGTCAGCCCCAGACCTGGCTCCCCACCTGCCCCACCACCAGCCGCCACTGGTACCCCACCTCCCATCATCCAAAACCCCCAGCAGGAGTCCCAGCGCTTGCCCCGGTGCAAACCCCAAAGCCGTACTTACAGGGCAGGCAGGATGAAAATCCCAAAGGGGATCCCAGAGGCAGCATCCTGCCCTGCCCCGCATGCCCCATCCCGGGCGGTCCAGAGGCAGGAGGGGGAATGCAGGAGCATCTGCATGGCAGCTCCTGGAGCCATCCGGCATGGCCGTGGGGCCGGGACACGGGGCGGGTGGGAAGCTGCCCTACCAAACCCTCCCCAACCCCAGAGGCGAGGGGATTATTAATATCCCTTCCATTTTAATAATGGTGGAAGCTGTAAGTAACAAAGCCGGGCCATTTATTTGAGTCTACCATTGTTTTCCTGACAGTAGGCGCTTAATTATTAATAGCTTTCACTGCCGGTTAATTTAAAAGAATTCACGCGCTTTCCTCCCATCGGCTCCCAGCGAGCAGGCACTAAGGAAAACCAAACAAAGGCAGCGAGGGATCGTGGGGGGCACCCAGCCATCCCCCCCATCCCCCAGCATTTGGGAGCTGCACCTGGGGGAGGACCCCGAAACACCCAGGGGGCCACAGCATCAGCTGGGGAGACACAGCACCGGGTACTGCACCGCAGTGCATCCTCCAGAAATGGGAGCTGGGACAAGGGAAAGAAATCACCAAAAAGCAAAATTTTCACCGTGCTGCCAATCCATGCCGCCACCTGGCACTCCTGGCCCCTCTGGGCAGATATTCAGGGTGAAATAAAATGACAACAATTTATTTTCTCATAGTCAACACAGCTGCATTTCACAGACAGAGGGGAAGGCACTATGTCCATATTCCTTCTCTTTATTTTTTTTTTCCCCCTCTTTTCCCTCTGGCAAAATTATTTCTGCACTAACGACAACGGCCCAGGCAACAGCAGCGTGGAGAGCGAAGGCTGCCCTGCGCCAGGGGACATCTTCCAAAAGCCACCTCCAACCGTTCCATCTTCTGAGCTCTCCTTAATGAACGCAGACCCTTCTTCCTCCCCTCCCTTTCAAAACAACGAGCCAGAGGAGCAAAATAAAAGAGTCCAAGACTAAAATTAAACCACTGATGAGTTATTTTCAGAGATGGAGAATGTCCATTAAGGTCAGCTGGGACCAGAGACTCGAAGGGGTGGCAATCCACCGGCGCATCACTCATCTAGCAGGGCTTCCCCCACGCACTATTATTTTTCCCCCCTTCATTTTCTTCCCAGCGCTGCTGCATCCGAGAAACCAGGCTCCCGCCGCTCGCTTTTGTGCTAATTATATCCTCCTCCCCCATAAATGACTGGTCCCAGCTTCAGCTTCAAATCCAGGGTATGGGTTGGGTTTTTTTTAAACACAGGAGAAGCAGAGGTTCTTGTCCCTGTGTTAGGGTGTGCATCCTGCACCAGACCATTCCCCGGCATAGCCTAGGTCCTGGGGCAGGCAGCGGGTTGCAGAGACAGCCGGGGGTTACAAACTCCCTTGGCAGCCCCTGGGCTTTCTTTGCAGGGGATGTTTTTGGATTTCAGTGAGTTTTCATAGAATGTTTTGGGTTGGAAGGGACCCCTAGAGGTCATCTAGTTCATCTCGTTTTGATTGGGTTTTGTTTTTTTTTTTAAATGCACCCCAATAAAATGGCAGCACAGCCCCGCCTGGGTGCTCCCACCAGCAGTGCTGGCACACAGGGAGCTCACAGAGGCAGCAGGACAGCCAGCTGGTGACAAAAGGGTGACAAGGAGGTGACAGCCTGCACACACACACTGCCACCACCCGCCCCGTGGGACACAGTCCTGCCGCAGGTCACCAACCTGCTGGTCCCTGGTCTCCTAATCTGGCTGGGATGCTCCTGGAGGCAGCAGGACAGCCAGCTGGTGACAAAAGGGTGACAAGGAGGTGACAGCCTGCACACACACTGCCACCACCCGCCCTGTGGGACACAGTCCTGCTGCAGGTCACCAACCTGCTGGTCCCTGGTCTCCTGATCTGGCTGGGATGCTCCAAGGGATGCTCCTGGGGGGCAAGGGAGCTCACAGACCCTCCCAGGGTGACACAGCAAGGACTGGGGGGTGGCCCCAGACCCTTTCCACTTGCTCCCTGTAAATCCAGCACCACTGCCAGGGTCCCCCCCAAGCCCCCACCAGGACCCAGCTGCTTGCCCGATCCGGGCAAGAGCAGAGCTGCAGTGAGAGCTATGCAAATTGCCAAATTCCAGGTTTTAAAGCATATCTTAAATTCCTGCCAGCAAAACCAGAGATAGGGATGGAGAGGACATGGGGATGGGGGGGGTGTTGTCCCAGCCCTGCTGCGTCCCAGAGCTGGGCGGGGGGGGGACAGGCTGGACCACTCCAGGCAGCCGGAGGGTTGCTGCACTATCACAGCTCAGCAGCACGGCCGGGGGTATTTTGGAGCCCTGTCCATATTGTTGGCATTACAGCAACAATCTGCTCCAAAACTCACGATGGGGAAAATAATTTCCAAACCTCTCACGAAATGGGAAGCGCAGAAAACGCCCTGGGGCATCCCCTGGTTGAGACTTCAAACCAAAGGACGGGATTCAGGCGCACATCAATACTGTGCTTCGCTCATTAAATCCTTCCTCTGATCCTCAATTTAAGGTCGGTTTGAATCAAGATGCCGGTCCAGGCGAGCTGTCACCCCCTCTTCGTCACAGCAAATAACAAATCAGCCCCTCTGACCCCACCCAGCTCAGCTGCAGCAATATAATTTAATTTAGTTTTCAGGTGGAGAAAGAAAAAAAAACAAGACTCAAAATTGCTAAATAATATTTCAATCAAACAAATAAAAAGAGAAACAAGTTTCCAGCAGCATTTCCTATGGAAAAACCATCAATTTGTTAGGCAAAAGTCGACGATGAGGTTTAAACTGCAAAATCAGCCCAGAGGGGCTGTGCACAGAAAACCACATCCCAGCAAAGTCCTCATGTGGGGTCTTCCAGCTGAGTTTTCCCACTCATGGGATCATCAGCCCTTCCTTGGGATTCAAATCGTGTCTTCAAGGATAACTCAGCGCCTCCGATAACCTTGGCTGGGAATCTGAGAGCAATGAGCTTCCCAAGGATTTTCTCCACAGCTTTGGGCTGAAGCCCGGCTCGCCCGCAGGGAAGGAGCAGCTCTCCCCCCCGCGCTGCCCATCCCGAGGGTCCTGCCTGCATCCCTCCGGGAAAAACCCAAAACAGCCCAGCGAGAAGAGAAGAACAGGCTCCCCCCTGCTTCCCTGTCTCGCCAAGTTTCTCCTCCTATAAAACCACCAAGAGATAAAAATAATAAAAAAAAATCCAGGAGCTATTAAAAGGCAGCAAAAGGCAGGCAGGATGACAGGCTGAGGGCGGCACTGCCAGCCCAGAGGTGCCAGGGGACCAGGTCGGAGCACTGCAGCATCTGCCTCCAGGAAATCATGTTGGGAGACGAAGCCCAACGGTGCCTCCTCATGCGCTGGTTTTTCCTCTCAACACAGGAGAGCCGGCACGGGAATCGGGTACCTGCTCCCCGCTTCCGCACCGAGCCCCAGGACAAGCATCTCCCGGGGGAGCCCCAGCACCAATAGCTGATCTGCCACCACCACGGGGGGTCCTTGGACAGACCGGAGCAATTCCCCCGGGAGCCAAAAATCAAGGTTAATTTCTCAAGGTTTTGATGGATACGCAGCAGGAACATGTCGGGAAGCGGTGCCGGAGCCATCAGCTGAAGGAGCGACTCCTCAGAGGGGATGGAGGGACATCAGGGTGAGGACAACGGCTCGGTCACCCCCCCAACACGGCCGTGCCATCGCGATGAGGCTGCGTGGGAGCCCGACAGCAGCTCCGTGCACGGAGAGAGGGAAGAGCCATGCAGGGAACAGAAACTCCAATTCACGGAGGGTTTTCTAACACCACTGAGTTTGGAAGGAAAACCTAGGGAAAAAAAGCTATTCAGAAATAAATCCCCCCCACAAATAGGGTGTTTGGGGATTTTTGAGCACAGCTCACAGAGCGGAGGAGCCCAGGTGCTCTGGCCCCCAGGACAGGGCTGCGGAGGGGCAGGAGAGCAGGCAGCCTCCATGGGGAGGTTTTGCCACAATTTCTCCCAACCCATCTCCATCAAACTTCCACAAGCAAATTCAACCAGCGACACAAAGGGGGGCCTGCACCCCTCCCAGGGAGACCCCAGACCTCCACAGAGCATCCTTGTCCTCGAAGGGACACCCTGCATCTCTGCGGGGGTGAGGACAGGGACCCAACCTCGGCTCTGCCCCGTGCTCCACCCCGGACCTGTCTCATCCAAATTCATACAGGGTTTAACCCAAACACCCTGTTTTATTTTGATGTTCATTAAGTAACCTCAACTTGTGTTTCACCCCAAGGAGCTCAAGAATTCAGCCTTATTTCACTCCCCTGTCCCATCGCTGCCTGCTGGACCACCCCACCGCCCGGTTGCCCACTCCTCAAAGGGCTTTGGGATCCAGCCAAATCCTGCAAGCCCTGTGGGTGCCCAGCAATGCCAGGTGCTGCAGAGCAAGGCACACGCTGTCCCTCCTCTCCCCAGCTTCAAACCAGCGGGGTTTTTAAGAGAGTAGATACTGCAGAGCCTGAGGGCAAGTGTGGACCAGCCTGGCACGCTGAGGCAATGTTTGGGGGAGAACAGGAAGAAAGCACCCCCGAAGCATCCAGGGAGGGTTATTTTGGTGCAGCCCCAGCAAAGGTGCATCCTCACGCCTGCCTTACCTGGCTCCCCACTGCTGCTCTTTCAAAAAACAATAATAAAGAGCTGGGGGACACAAGGAAAAAATCACGATTGCAATGTGGGAGACAACCATTCATGGGAGAAACCCATTCATCATCTTTAGGGGAAAGAGGGAGACGAGTCAGGATGGCAAGAGAGGGGAAAAAAATCCAAACTAAAAAAGAAAAGAAGAAAGAGGGATGCAAAGGTGGAGGCGGGTGGCCAGCAGCCAGCATTTGCTCCAATAAATCCTACGCTCCTTGAAACTGGCTGATCTCCAATAAAAACTCATTTTAATCTAAGACCACAAGACTCCTCTGGAAAGTGCTCCCTGGAGAGGCCCCGGTGCTGCGAAATACTCTGCATCCACCAAGCTGGTGAGGGGCGGGAAACAAGGGGGGCGATAAGGTGCAGGAGCCTCATGCAAAGCTCCCCATGAATACTGGGATGAAACTACACAAAAACAGGGTCTCTGCACCCTCTGGGTGCCCCAAGACCATGAGCAAGTGGTCGGGGAGCCCCCGGCTTTAGGGACAAGCATCCCTTTGGGTGTCATCACCGACCAGCATCAGGGATGGGAGCTCTTCCCAGGGGCCCGACCCCACAATGCTCCATGCCCACAGCTCAGCCTCACAGCATCCAACCTGGGATGGTTGTGTCCACTTCCCCATGAACTCTGGAGTTTATTTCTTAAACTTTGCCTTCACTTAAGCCCCCATCTCTTGCTAACCCACAGTTATTTCCTCGAGCAGAGAGAGCAGCCCCGTTCCACTTTACCCCTTCAGCCCCCTGCAAGCCCCCAGGCTCAAAACTGAGGCAATTTTAAATTACAGCTGGAAATCAAGCAGAAAACCCAGCTAATTACAGGCTTAAGATCCTCCATCATGAGCCATCCCAGTCCCCAGCTCTGCTTCCCGCCTCACTGCCCTGGGAACCCCCCCCAGGACACGCACAAATTCAGATAGTTCAATTTAAAGCAATTATTTGGAAAATCATCAAGGGAGAGCAGGGATCTGTCAGCAGTCCCACAGCCAGGCTAAGGGTTGTTTTGCCCTCATCCAGCGCCCAGGACATGCCAGTGGGGATGGGAAAGGAAGGAAAAGGAGATGGGAAGAGGAGAAGGTAAAGGAAGAGGAGGGTTAGCAGAGGGAAAAGCCAAATTAAGCACGAACAAGGCATGAGATAAACAGCTAGAGGCAGACTGATGGAGCAGTAAAGTTTTCTGTGAAGCAGTTAATGTTTGGATAAAAATTAAAAAAGCCATTTTGACTATCAAGCTCTAAACCAGCTCTTCTGTCTTTCTGCACTGGACCTGACCTCCAGGCTGGGCAGGAGGAGCCGGAGCACTGGGAACAGGCAGGAGCCAGCGGCCCCGAAAGCGAGGAGCATCTTGAGCACGGTGCATCTGAAGGAGCAGGTACAGGGACAGCTCAAGGGAGTCACAGCAGGGCATGGGCCGGAGCTGGGAGCAAGCAAAGCCCCCGAATGCCACCCACAGTACCCACGCCATCCTCCTGGGAGAGGGGAAGCTCCCCATGGCTGCCCGGCTGGCTCTGCTCCCCCAGCCTGGCCATCAGAGGGGAGTTGGACCCAGAAAATAACAAAAACTGGTTTAAAAGTAATGAGATTAAAAAAAAATAAAATATCCATTTGCATTTTCTTCCTTACAGTTCCCGAGACTTCGGAGGTGCCTCCAACTCCCAGCCACGAGCCCTTCCCCATGCTTCCAAGAGCCAGAAACACATTTTTTCCTCTTTTCCACATTTCCCAGAGATGGGAATTTCTCATGAGCCTGCAAAAGCAGCACGAGCCGACACACCAGCGAGGAAAGAGCAGGCAGTGGCTGCAGATCCCAGGCAGGGAGAGCAGCTCCGAAGGTGCCCCTTTACGACGGGATCTGGGTGCATCCCAGCTGGCAGTAGCCGCAGATGCCGCACTCGATGCCAGATGGGGAATTTGGCATTGCTGGAGATGCTGCCAAGACCCGCGGGAAGCACGGAAAGTCACCGAGCCGCTGCCAGCCTGCTACTGCAGGCCCCCAGGGACCAGGGCTGGGGCTGTGGGCAGCAAATGCAGGAATGGTAGAGGTCACGTGCAGAGGGAGCAAAGCTGGAAATCTTGGCTTTCCACCCTGAAAATACAAGCCTGGACTGTTGGCAGGCTCCCCCAGCCCCACGGTGGGTTGGGGGTGGCATGGGGTCACACCCCGCCAAGGCAGCAACACAGGGCTCAGAGGTATCCAGAGCCACCGATGTCGATGTCCCTGTCCCTGCTGTGCTGTTAAAACAGCAGGGACAGGGTCCCACGTCCCCTGTCCCCAAGCGATGCCCTCCCCAGGGCCACGCAGCATCCTGCCCCACCGTGCTGAGGACCAACACAGCTCATCACACCTTGCCGGCAGGGACAGCAGCACCCTGCCCATGCGATCGAGGGCAGGTCAAGCCTAAAACACCATGGCAATTAAACCAGGAGAAGCCACGTGGTTTGGCTCAATGGGATCAAGGGGTGGGTTTGGAGCAGAGGCCCCCAGGGACACAGGGGGACAAGCATGGCCCCGCTGGGGACCAGGACTCACCGTGAGGCAGGTCAGCCGTCAGGTGTGGCATCATATAGCTGCGGACCAGCTCCCACCCAAAGTCATCGTCCTCACCCTGGCTGTACTCGCACTGGTTCGGGTCGCCGTCCTCCTCGAAGGTGCAGCCGGCTGCGGAGAGAGCAACCCATCAGCCCCTGCAGAACAGCTGGTCCCTCCCCAAAACCCTGCTGGATGGGGCACTCCCCCCCCAAAACACAGGGGGACCCCAAGCATCCCCCCACGTGCACCCGTGCGCAATGACATGGTCCTGCCTGCTGCTAATCCCCCATCTCTCCCATTCAGCTCCCCCACCAGTGAAACGAGCTGGCAGGTCTCAGCTCCCGGGAAGTCTCAGCCACAGGAGCAGGACGCGGACGCAGCTCCCAGCTTTGCTTCCCAGGGGCTGGTCACCAAACTGGGGGGGTTCTCCCAAGAAACAGGCACTTGACCACAGCATTCACACAAGGATTTGCAAGATCCCGAGGGCTCCTGCAAAAAGAATCCTGCTTTAACCTCAGCCTGCTCGCGCGTGTTTTGACCTTGAGCTCGTGGGGGTCTGCTCATTGCCTGACACGACAGCGGCAGGTCTCAGCCGGGACCTCCAACAACCTGCAGCAATCGCACCCCTACAAATGCATCCCCAAACCCCCAGCTGCAGGCTGGCACTGCTGAGCCCTTTTATTTCTCTTTTGGGGGGTTGGGGTTGGTTTTTTTATTCTTTGCAAAGAGCAAAGGCGAAAGTCCTGCACCACCTCCCCGGTCTGCAAGGTGCTTGGCTGAGCACGGAGAAGCAGAATGAACACCAAGAGGCCACTTGTCCCCACGCGTACCGAGGTGACACGGAGACGGCACACCGAGACACCGGCCAGCCCCCCATCCTGCATCCAGCCAAACCCCGAGCTCTGGGGCTGGCTTCGCCCATGGGGCTGCTCGGGGCCGCTTCGTTAACACTGACCTATTGTCCCCTTAAACCCACAGATTACACACGGACCAGGGCACCAGCGCTAATTAATACGAGCTGCGGAGGGCAGGCATGTTAAGAAAGCCCTGAGCAAGCAGAACAAACAAAGGCAAATATCCCCTAATGGGCCAGCATAAAAGCAGAGCCTGGCCAGAGGATTATTTCTTCTGATTTTTTTTCCTATTTTATCCCCAAATTACATCAGTAATTCCATTCCCCCCACCACCTGGGGATTTGCCAGTTAATGGCCTCGCTGCTGCCGGCACAGGTTGCACTTCCCCGTGCCAGGGGATGCTCAGATGCATTGCTTGTGCAAACACAAGTCCAAACACTGGAAAAAAGCCCATAAGATGCTCAGAAAATTGTGATCTATAAACAGATTCGGGACTTTTTCCCCCTTTACACTTATTTTTTAAAGCACCAGGGTGCACTCCAGATCCGTCGTCTAGGTTTGGGGTTTTTTTTCCTCCTCTCAGAACCACAAGAAACTTCTTTTAAAAAAAAACTAAAAGCAAATTCTCTCCTATTCATATGCCTGGAGGCACCGAGACCTCACAGTTTTCTTAAAATCCTTCCCGAAATGGAGCGTCTGCCCAGCCCACGTGCGGATGTGCCCCCGCACCGCAGACCCCGGTCCTCAGCTCCTTCAGCTCTCGCCACGAGACACGCTAGATTTGAAAAGAGTCTGAAACTTGGCTGCACTTTCTAATGGGAGAAAAAGCACAAATCTGTCAAAATTTTCCAGGAAGGAAAGAAAAAAAAGTTTTTTTTCAAAATAAAACAGTGACAGAAACTAAGTGCCAAGTGATTTAAAAAAAAAAGCGCCTAAGTGTTTCTTTCCAAGATCTGCTGAAATGCAGTATTCTGGGAGGGAGAGATTTGTTCCTAATTGGGGGGGTTTTTTTGGGTCTGAGAAACCAGAGCGGAAACAAACAGTGTTCCAGGCTGGCAGAGCCCCCATCTCCCAGGGAAAACCAATTTCTTTGCCCCCAATAAACTATCCACAGCTGCTAACGTCAAGGAGACGTGACCTCCTCCTCCGCCTCCTCCTGGGCTGCACCTCCACCCCCCGCAGCCATTCCCAGCGCAGCCACTGGCACCACTTGGCCCCGTGCCTCAGTTTCCCCACTGCTCCATCAGCCCAAGGCTGGATCCTCGGCCACCTGCAAGACAATGCCCAGGCTCCAGAAGCTTAAAATGCAATTACTTGGAGTAGATGTTTTGCTGGCGGAGGCACAGCTGGCCAAGCCGATCCGTCTACCTCCTCGGACAGGTTTATTGTTATAGCTTTTCCCAGCGCGAGCCTTCCCTCCCATCCACATCGCGAAATGAAGGCAGCTCGACCGGCCGCTCCATCTCACCAACAAATCTGTCTATGATTTGTATACACAGGAAAAAAAAATAAAAAGGGGTTTGCCTTGGTTTTCATGAGCTATGGGATGCTTTTGGCACCACCTCTCCCCATCCAAGGGCAGGGCTGGGGAGAAACTTGACCTCCAGCCCTTTCTCCCTCCCCATCTCAAGATTAATGGGGGCATAAAAATTAACATCCGAGCAATTAAATGTTGACATCCCAGCTCCAGAGGGGGTAGCTGTGGGTCCCCCAACAACCATAGTAAGTCAAAGGGGGTAAACCCAGAGCAGCTTTCAGAAAAATTAAGGTTTCATCAACCTGTTTGCAAGGAAGGCAGAGAGACTGCAACCCAAAAAAACCCAGCTGCAGCAACAGGGATGGTTATACCCATCCTAAGGGCTAACGGCAGCGAGACATGGTCTGTGGGAGCTGGCTGGGACCGCTCCGGGTCCAGGTGCTCCCTAAAAATCACCAGGCAGAAACAAGGTGTCCCCAATTCCCAGCCCCTGTGCTGGCTCAAGGCCAGGGTAAGAGCAGCCCCGGGCGGTGGGATGAAGGCAGCGAGCGTGGGAGGTGCGACTCAAACGCAAGAGCAGCTAAAAATATTGCTGAGGGCGTGACAGTCTGCTCCCCAGGGGCGGGATGCACCCGAGAGGATGCCTGAACACCCCAAAGTCACCTAAACCCCTCCAAACCCAGAGCCTGCCCCATTGCACCACAGGCACCCATGCCATGGACAGACTCCATTGAACACCCTGCAGGGCAACCCAGCATGAAGCCACCGCAGCGTGCCCAGGCAGAGGGGAAAAGAGGGACAAGTGCTAACATGGGGGTTAAACACCAGAAGAACCAAAATTTTAAAGAAAAAAAAAAAGGTGGCTTGAGGGATTTGCCAGGGGGACAGGTACCAGTGCTGCTCAGCATCCTCCCTGGGTACCACAGCATGTCCAGGCAGAAGGGAGCAGAGGGACAAGGACTAACATGGGGGTTAAACACCAGATGGACCAATTTTATTTTTTTTTTTTTTAAAGAAAAAAGGGTGGCTGAAGGGATTCACCAGGGAGACAGGTCCCAATGCTGCCCAGCATCCCCTGGGTACCCCTGTCACCCAGCATCCCCCTCCCTGGGGATGAAAAGGAAGAAAACCAGGGAGGGGGAAGAGGAGGAATGAAGGATTTGCAAAGCAGAGGGAGGAAAAGAAAGACCAAACAACCAAGCACAATGGATGGCGTTTAATTAAATCTCCGTGGCCACCGAGGAACGTGGCCGCCTGCCCACCAGCCCGCCCCACGCTCTTTCATCCGCCGAGTCTATGCCCCTCTCGCTTCAAAGTTAATTACACACTTAAACCTTTTCTGTTTAACCTCCTGCACCATGGGACATGCTCCACGGGCTTCTTTTCTTTCATCAAGCAGCCTTGAAAAGGCTCCCGTGCGAAAGGGCAGCCTGGCACCATCCATCACGTGATCGTGATGGGATCGCATGCTCCTGTACCCCAAGGGGGGGGTAACAACACCGCCCAGACCCTTCGGGGCATCATCAGATGGGGATGCTACACAAATACCATACCTAAAAGTGTAAAGGCTTTATGAAAAAGGATTTATACCCAAACTTTAGCAAGCACAGGCTCCCCACAGCTATGAAATTTGGGATGGGCATCCAGGACCCCCAGTCTAGGACAAAGCAAAGCCAATCAACGGGAGAAAACCTGTTTTGTTCCCATCTTGGCTTAGGCAGGACTGGATTAGCCCCACAGCCATCTCTGGGGTGCAGCATCTTGAGAGCACAAGCCCCTGGACACCCCATGCCACACAGCGCAGGCACCAGCTGAGAAAGGTAACACAGGTGACCCTTTTGGAGTCAGGATTAATTTTTCATCCCTGGCCTTTTCCCTGCAGCTCCCACCCCCCATCCCAGGTAATTACCAGCAGGCAATTGGGACTCAGGTACCTGCAGGACACACCATGTATCACCCCGGCTGCATGCAAACACCCCACACAGCAAAACAGGGCTCTGACCCATCGTCACCCTGAACACACCAAGATGCAGGAGGGGTGAGCATCTCCCAAATCAGCAGTTTTCACTAATTCCCAGGAGCAGGGACAGAGCTGAAGGCTGTTACACAAAGTCACACAGCCCCCAGTTATCACCCAAGAACTCCCTTACTGCACCAAAGGATCGAGTTCTTTACACAAGACGAATGGTTAATGCCTCTGCCGCAAGTAGGGAAACTGAGGCATGCAGGAGATTTGGCAAAGTCCCATAACACCAGCAGCAACCAGCATCATCCCCCAGGGAGGGCAGAAAGCCCCGGGAGCCAGGGTTTGCTGGGATGCAGGACCCCACTCCAGCAGATGCCAGAGAGATGCCATCCCTTCACGGTGCCCCCACAGAACTGAGCCAGCCTCCCACTGCCCAGATCCTGGCTGCTATTTAAAGGTGATTTCCTTGGCATGCTCCTACGGGAACGTGCCCTGGGAAGGAAACGCCAGGAGCCGCTTTCCTCCGGGCGCCAGCAGACACGGGGGATAGGGAACACATACTGCAATTCATCTAAAATTAGATACTTCTTACCCAGCAAGATCTCATACGTACCATACCGCAGGCTCCCAGTCGAGGTTATTAATGGATAAGGGACTGGAAACCCCATTTCTGTCTGCAGAGGGTCCAGGATCCGGGGAGGGGGGGATGATGCTACACAGGGGTCTGGGGCTCGCACAGGGGGATGCAGCACCAAGGAATCCAGCTCAGCAAGAAAACCAAGAGGCAGAGCAGGTCCCACGCCACAGCATCCCATCACCTCCCACCGCCGGAGACCCCCACCACATGGAGCACCCCATCAGCTCGATGGCCAACCCCAGCCAAGCCCAAACACCCCAGGCTTTCAGTCTCAGCAGTGGGGAAAAACTCTTCTAGTCCAGGCAAAGGGGAGCTAAACCCCCCCTTAGCTGCACTTTGGACACTCAAAGACCCTGGGGCACAAGCACAACAGGCACCTGCAAACATTTTTTGTGCGTTAGACACGCCAGAGATTACAACGAACACCCTCCCCACTCCTCTCTGTTCCCTACTTCTACAAAATAGAAACATTTTAAAAAATATTACCGATTTCCTGGCCCCGATAAAAGCTGATTAGCAGAATATGGAAAGCAGCTCCATTAAAATTCTTGCCAGTAGTTTGTTTTGCTTCTCCAAATCATTTTAAATATTGCATTTAATAGAAAAATAATTTGCTCAGCTGTAAGAAACATCAATTTGCAACTTGAAGCCTTGTATATTAGCCAAAGAAGCTAATGTGTAAACATTAGCAGCTCCAATAACGCACAGGGTTTAGCCAATGCAATTCCAGGGAGAGAGCAGCCAGATATTAAGACAGAGGATTTGCATAATAAGTCACTTATGCCTGATAACCTCAGTGTTTGGAAAGCGCAGGACTAGGAGAACAATATCCATCTACCAGCAACTACAGAAGACATAAGTCTTTTTTTTTTTGCTTGTTAGACTTGTTATGGTTTTTACCTGCAAGTCCCCATGGAAGTGTTAAACCTCCCACAGTGAGTGCCCAGCTCCTGCTCTGGCCCAGGAGCCTCCGAGGGACCCCAGGCACAGGGGAACTGGGAGACATGGATTCGTTACAGGCATTCCCAAGCCTGGGGAGAGCAAATACAACTGGGAAAATACAACTCTCAAGGGTTGGCCGTGCTACCGGGCCAGCTTGTGCTTGGGCAAGGACCAGGTGCGCCATGCATCACCTTACCATGAAGATGCATTAAAAAACAAAAGGGGAATAAATAATCTTGCCTGTGGGAGTCCCTTCTTGAGGCAGATCCAGCTGCAAAACGCAGCTCCCGTTCCCTCCCACCCCACAAAGCGGCTCCCGGGGGGGAGCAGTGCTGCTGGGACCAGGGTGCTGCATCACCCCGATGCAGGCACAAGCAGGCATCGCAGCTCCCTGGCAGTTCTGCAGTGATGCTGGGGGGCACAAGCCGGGAGGTTTCAGCCCTATAGTCAGAGCAGATGGGTATATTTAACACCCATCCAAGTGCTGTCTCTGCACAGCACCTGGATCCAGCCAGCGCTGCTCCCAGGGAAAGGACCAGCATCATTTCTCCATTATTTATACCCAGGTTGGGAGAGGTCCTGCAGCACAGAAACACCCTCAAGCTCCCCAGCCAGGAGGCCACTAACCTGCAACACAAGTGCTTTAATAATGAACCATCACTTAATTAACATAGTCAGGGCTGCCTCTGACTCCGTAAGAAAAACAAGGCAGGCCTTTGGAAACCTCTGTCCTGCCGTTATCGATTGCTTGCTGTGCAGTTACAGCGCCTGGGCTATGGAGCCACCTGGCACCTTGGGGGGGGGAAGAAAGGTAAAAAAAATGGAAAAAAGAAAAGATGAAAATAAATTGAAAAAAGGGGAAAAAAAATCTTCATTTCTCTCCCTGGCTCCTTTATTACCATCAGGTCCCCGTGGCCCTGCTGAAGGCTATCCACCCCACTTGCCCATGGACCCAGAGAGACCAGGACTGTGAGCCCCAAGGGTGAAATGCTGCTTTTGGGGAACCCCCGAGGACACAGAGATGCTCCCTCGGCACATGTTCAGGCAGGGAAAGCAGCTGTCCCAGGACACAGCAGCAGCAGCACCGCAGCCCTGGGGGACTCCAGCACCAGCTGCAGAAATCATGGGAAAGACCAAAGTTTTCCAAAGCAACGCTATTTTGCAGGGGATAAAGATGGGGGAAACCCTCGGTCTGTCCCCCTCCACAGCCTCTCGCCCTCCAGGTACCACCTCTCCACAGTGATGGATGCAGGAGCGAAGCACACCGGTGGGCTGATCCTCCTGTGATGGAGCGCGTGCCAGTGCCAGCAGAGCCTTGGGGAGGCAGCTCAGCCGGGTTATTTATGGCCTTTCGAGGCGGAGAACGGCGCCGCTTGCGTTGCCAAAGAGCCCTCACGTGGCAAAACCAGCCGGTGACAGGGCCGCACGGTCCCCACCGCGCCCAGCATCCGCTCCCCAGCCCTCAGCAGAAATACAAGGGGGAGGAAGAAGAGTGGGGAGGAAGGTCAGGGCAGAGGAGCAGCACGTCTCAGCGCAATGCAAAATCCAGGTTGACATCTTCCTCTTCCCATTGCACTGGGAGAAGCAACATGGGAAGGTTGACACCGAGGTTTAGAGGTGGCGATGCAGCTGACATGGGCAGATCAGTCACCCGTGGGCCCGGCTGCCAGCGCCGGGGAGGCGTGGGCTCAGCTAAACCCTTTGCTGTTACACAGGGGGGAACAGACTGGATCTGCTGGGAGGCTACAGCCACTGGCAAAGCCCCCGTGGCAGAAATAAAAAGGCACTCCATGCCCAGGGAGCCCATGTCATGGCTCTGGGGAGTGTGCCGGACTGAGACAGGCACCTTTCAGCCAGGCAAAGGTGAGGATACTGCTAATTGAGCCCAAAAACCCCACCAGCAGGTGTGTTTTTACCAGCCCCCAAGTTAGGCTTGGTCATCCTGGGCAGCGCTGGCTTGGGCATCCATCCCCGAGGCTGGGGTAAAACCAGCAGCTCCAGCAAACTTATCTGGGGGTCTCCACCAGCACCCCAGCATCACCCCATGCTCCCAGGGGTTAAAACCTCTTCTAACCAGGCAGATAACTTCCTCCAGTCCCCCAGGTGCGGGCACCCATGCAGACATTAGGTATCAAAGCAGCTGGTGCTTAGGGACCACACGTCATAAATCCAGAGCTGCAGGAGCCTGCGGAACCCTTTCCTCAACAGCTTATTTATTGCTTTTAATACCTCCCCTCCGTCGCTGGCACTACCAGCTGTGAAACAAGGTTTGCTTTGCAAATGGTCAATAAAAAAAAATCAAATTTCCCTTTTTTCTGGAAAGCTGTTCAAAGTCCATCCCGCTCCCTTTATTTTGATAGGCCCTATAAAAATTCAGCTGAGATGCCCTGCCCCTCTCCAGCTCCAAGGACAAGCAGGCAGGAGCACTGCACCAGCAGGGACACCATGGTGCCACCTGCGGAGACCTGCTAGACTCAGTGCACAGATGGGTCCAACCTGACATCCCTGAAAGCAAAACCCTGAGTTTGGTCACACAAGAACTTGCTGATAAGCCACGGTGCAGGGCAAATTCACGGACTGTGCCCATCACACATCCCAACTCCTTCCCTCCTCCCCAGCTACTCCCACGCAGG